TAGAAAACAAAGGCAGCGCACAGGGCGGCGCAAGTATAGTGGTTTCCTGAGCTGGAACCAGGTGATGGACAAGCTTCGATCCTAATCGACAGAGTGACCCAATACCGGAATTTAATCCAAATTAGTCATGTTATCCGCTATCCTTCACCTACTGAATTTTTCCTCTATCCATTGATTCTATTGGGATTTTGCATATGCGCATTCGTTGGACTGGATTTGCTTACATAGGTCACTTTAAGCTTCCTGGACGGGACATCAGGATCATTGTAATCAACGGTTAGAGACAGAGTCGTAAAAATTCGTGCTCGCGCATCATCTCAATTTCCATGCCACCACCTTAGTCTTCATGAATTCCAATTTGAACATCCAAATCATCGCTTCTCTTCCTCATGCAGTTTGAAAGTTATGAGAATGCAACCAAAACAGGAGAACGAAAGTGCATGATTAAAGACTGCAAAAAGTGAAACTAAACTGATTTGCCAATCAATACGGTCCTCAGTAATCGGGTCTCGTCAAGTAACAATTTCACTAATCAAACAGGTGCTCAAAAGCGTGGTTGATAAACTTTCATGTGCGCAGTATATAGCTGCATTTGAGTGGCATGTTCAACTGCTGTACAACGGTGGCATCTGTTTCCAAAATGTGCCCCGAACCGATCGGTTGACTGAAATGAAATTCTCGAACTCCACGGACCATATAAAACCTCAGCATTGGCTTAGAATATCTTAATCGCGATTTGATGGCCAGAATACCACCAAGATTCAAGGTTAATTTGCTTGGAAATTATCAAGCGAACGTTTAGTCTTCATGTAAGGCGTTGGGTACTAGGTTCCATGGCTTTGAGAATTTAAGCGATATTCAGTATACTTAAAACCAGTCTGGATCTAGGCGATATCAAACAAATCTGGGTATAAGAAAATAACGTGACAAAAATCAATGCATGCCCTTTCTTCGTGCGTTCGAGTATGCCAGGCAATATTCTCAGGGATTCGGCAAGCCAAAGGCGAACCCGAATTCTAGTCGGACAGAGTGTGAATACTTCGTTTCACCTGGGGCCAATGTTCCGCTAATCGGAATCTTGTGAATCCGTTCACACATCTACAGTGACTAACACCCTGTATTGTCCCATCGAGCCGATGACCATCGCGAAAACGTCGTTCAGCCAGTTTGTACGCCTAATCGTGCGACAGACACATTCAGTTCCTCCGTATGAGCTAGCTACCTGTGGCTCATCCATCCGGTCATGACCTGGTTTCTGGTAGTCTCACTTGTGTAAAAAGATTGTTTGATGTGTNTCGGCCACGATATTTAGTAAGACACTGTCCTACAACTGATTGCGTTAGTTAATTGTTTGCGGTTGAATCTTGACACATTTGTAACATCGTATGTTATAATCGCATTTGTGGCATTGTGATCTTAAGCTATGCAGTGGGAAATGCAGAATGGGCACTAACCTCTGAGACTAACTCATTATCATCATCGTACAGCGAAATACAGTGAGGCGAACTTCACTGATCGCTGCCAAACTCGCAATGCATATAAGGTTGGTTGTAAAATTTAAGGTGGACAGGGGTTGGACATATTTTAAAGGAGGGAGAAGAAGGTGAACCTCTAGGGTCAACACACCGAGTACGCAATCGAACTTTCCATACATACCGCTTCAAGCATTCTGACCTGATAAGAAACGACAACAAGAA